CGAGCATAACTGACGCACACAGCTAAAATGCGTCTATGGGTCCATGACGCTAAATGAGCCTGCCCGCGCTCATCCATCTCTACCGGAAGAAGGTTCCAAATTTGACGAAATGAAAAGTTCCATTTTTTCCGTCGACTGATGAATACATATGTGCTGCCGGGATGCGGATGACCGTTTTTATGCGGAGAGGATTGTTTACATAACGCCAACTTCAGCGGTTATTTCACATGCCCTCTGAGCATAATTTTAAAAAAATACATACGGCACGTGGAATGCATGTGGTCTCATCAACAAATGACCTGTTTCTAGATGACGGGTGACATGAATTCATCTTCGAATTTTCTTCAAACTAGCGCTCTTCAGCGTTAGTCGTATTATTCAGATATTTACTCACGACCGTCGAGTAGTCTCTCCTTTCACCCGAAGACACGGAAACTCACAGACTTTCGGGACAAACCGCGCTGATATTGTGTACTTGGGTCCAAGTCAACGTCATAAGACGCCCTCTCTGTAGGCTGGGAGCTAAGAAACAAAAGTCCTTCACTTTTATGTGGATTCACCTTTGAGACAGGCGTGAAGAGTGTGGTCTCATCAACAAATGACCTGTTTCTAGATGACGGGTGACATGAATTCATCTTCGAATTTTCTTCAAACTAGCGCTCTTCAGCGTTAGTCGTATTATTCAGATATTTACTCACGACCGTCGAGTAGTCTCTCCTTTCACCCGAAGACACGGAAACTCACAGACTTTCGGGACAAGCCGCGCTGATATTGTGTACTTGGGTCCAAGTCAACGTCATAAGACGCCCTCTCTGTAGGCTGGGAGCTAAGAAACAAAAGTCCTTCACTTTTATGTGGATTCACCTTTGAGACAGGCGTGAAGAGTATCACCACAAGTGGGCAAGGTTCACCATCACTGTAGCCGCCGTGATGTGATACCCAATCCCTTTCACACCGGCGGTCACTGTTAGTAGTTTGCCTCGATCATCGACGTAGGCCGTCATCTACAGACTTTGAGCCTTGACGAAGCAGGACTTGCGCCTGGAGAGTCAATTGCTTGAAGATGGCTTTAGCCCTCCCTGAATCTTATCCATCACTCGTTTCAGCCGTTGGCGGATGTCGTCAAGAGCTGTCGGAAGTGGAAGGACTAAGGGGTACGTCTTTTTTCTGTGGGTTGCAATTCGGGAGACATCGTTGGTTGATTTGGAACAAGCTGAGGAACATCTATGGAGAATAGTTTTTACTGCTTGTAATGGACTTATCTCCAAATACAGAGAACAGGCGGAACGCCTCTGTCCAGTAAAAACAGAGGTGAAGTCAGAGGGGCCACATATCCTGGTAGAAAGGGCATGTGCATTGTTTAACACAGGTGTCGGCCGTCTAAAAGCACCTGGGTGTTTACACCGCAAGCTAGAAGTTATTTTCCGTTGCTTGACCTCACCTTGATTGTTCCAATACTATCATGGGGCAGGCTTGGTGATTGCGGACAAAAGTGCCTCAAGACGAGAGAACATGCATACTTTGTCACTCGAGAGGCAACATTCAGAAGGTAGGCGTCACCCTCCAGGATTTGCCGTCGGCCATAGTGATACAACGTGTACATCTCAAATTCCCGCATGAGCAACTCGGCGTGGAGGGTCACATTTTGTGTGGCGTGCTGCAGTGTGAGTAGTGCACCCGGTCTTAACGAACGACCGTTGGTATTCTCTAGATGGCTGTTAGTCACATTACAAATGTGAATATCCTGGATTGTGTGTGTTAAGCCCATTTTCGGGTGATATACCACTAGTGGCCTTCAAGATAAGAAGCGAATTGCAGGTGCATAAGACGCAGTATTTGCAGACCTTGCCGGAATCTGTGTGTTCGTATTATAATGAGAAAATCCCCAACTTTACGGCATTGTCCAAGCTGGCCGTACGGTTAAATAGATGCTGGCTGTACGCAGTGTCTGTGGACAAATATATATGGGTTTCACATGATACGCACGTGCTTCCTGAGAGCTTACCTGATATGGAAGTAGTACAACATTACGTCTGAGTCAAACACAATACTTGTCGCCTGCACCCGTACCGCCAACTTGTTCATGACGGACGTCTTCACGCGATTCTGTTTCCCCCATCACTGAATAAGTCAGGCAGTTTACACATAGGTGAAGACTGTTCGCCCTCCACGAAAGCATACATGGCCGGACATCAGGTATCCTTGCCGTGATGCGGAAGATATCTATTTTATATCCACAGGCGAAATATCAATTGCTATAAAGACTTACCAAAACAGTTTGCCGTTTGTGTTCCATTGATACACACTAAATCCAAGAGGCGGCAAAACCGCGCTGTCGGCTGCCATCTGGAGAAATATACATCAGGCTTTATTGACCTTCCCCTGACCGTAGCGAAGGAACGCTTTCAGACTGAGGGCATATCCCCTGCCACAATAGGCCACACTATGTGGCACCTACTCAACAGAGCCGTCCGAGACTTCCAGTGATAGTTCTATGTGTCCTAAATGGTAAGAACCTTGCCGATTTCATCGACCAAACACTATCACCCTCCAATTGATGGCATTCCATGCTACAGCAAGGCCCTATAAGAGCGAATGTCACGTCAGTCTGCATAACTGATGACCGGCTATTACCCGGCAGCCACGGGGTAACTGCTTTACTGGCGTGTCATGCAAGGTGATGTAGCGCATTCTGAAGCGAGCTACCCCGGACCACCTTAACACCGCCAACTTGAAATCCCCAGTTGAAGATGGATTTCTCCCAATCCGTTCTTGCGTGACGAACAAGCCACTCGTTACGGACAGCTTGACTCTTGGCAATGACGAGGAACTCGAATCGCGTGCCCTGCTTCCTGACTTCCTGAAAGCATTCGATTGAGTCTCACGGGATTCAAAGGAAAACCCTACACTGTTGAGGTGTTCTGTGAGAATTAAGTTCCGCATGTATTAAGTATAAACAGATGAACTTGAAATCCAGAATTCAGTGCAGCGTAACAAGAAGCACGTATGTATTCAAATCGGCATATACCAACGGCATCTGCAATATTAAAACGAGAGAATAATAAATAAAGCAATGAATAGAGTACCAATCATGTAATACAGAACATCCCGAGTAGAAGTGACCGCGACCTGCTCTCCTTTGGTGGCGGTTCCCTCTGAAGTCCTTCATGGCTCGGCTTTGGGACCACTCCTGTTTCTGATCTACGTCAACGACGTCCTTGCGAGTCCATGTCTACCTTTTGCGGACGAATTGGAATCCTGGAGTTCCAATGCTAGTGCCCTCCAAATGGATGTAGACGCCGCCAAGCAGTGGTCGTTGGACTGGCACCTTCCTCTGAATGATGAAAAGTGCGTCCATGTGTCGTTTGGAGGGGATTCAGCGAATGCCTTTGTTATGCATGGTGAAAAGGGACCAGAAAACATCATGAGGATAGATGCCAAAAGGGATTTGGGCATTTGGGTCTCCTCAAACTTGTCCTTCTCACTGTACCATGAGAAATCGGCCCAAAAGTCATTCACCGTTTTATGCATGATCCGACGCACCTTCTCCCGTATTACTCGCATGGACTTCCAAATACTCTATGGGGCCCACGTCAGACCGCTCCTTGAATATGCCAGCCAAGCTGTCAACTCAGGAGCACGAAGGACGTAATTTTCGTGTCCAGCGAGCTGCTACAAAATGTTTGCCAGCCTTAAATAAGTGGACTGCAAAATGCGTCTCGCGGTGCTTGACCTCTATCCCCTGGAGTATCGTCGCCTCCGAGGGGGCCTAATTCTCACTTATTCCCCGTTTGAACAAAACTTGCCCAACAGGTTTTTACCACTAACCCAAAAAAAAACAAGACGGGGGCATGGTAAGAAGATTTTCATGCTCAGAGCGCACACATTCATTAGGCAAAATGTTTTCCCATTTTGAGTAGTAGCAGCGTGGAATGACCTTCCTGTGACGGTGGTCCACCCTCCTTCTAGAACCGAAGTTCAAGGCACTATAAGAACTTATTTACGCGAGCCCTCGCTCTGGCAAGCATACTTCCCCGCGCTGAGAACATAAAGAACAGTGCGACACCTTTTTCACTTGTGCTCTTCAGGTGGGCGACAGCCGCTAAATGGCAAGAATAAAACAGGCTCGGGAAACATGGGTGAAAGTCTCGACCCTGTTTATCAATTCATCAATCCGTGAACACCGAATGGGGGTTCTTTGGCTGCAGAATGCCCTTCGCTGTAAAATTTTTGCGAGTTGAATACTACATTTTGCGCCCAACTTTTGCATTTTGTTTCGTGTGTGCTCAAACTCAAGACCACTCTAATCTACATCCATATCTTCGCAGCTCATCAAATTTTATTGTCCACTGAGTCAGTCATGCCTCTGGTGTAAAAATTCTGGTGAAATACTCTCTTAGCACCACTGTGCCCCCGGGCTGCATAGATATTGCCTCAAAGGTTCGACTGGTGTTCAGATTTCAACCATATGTGTTTTAGATCATCAGGGACGCCGCTCTGTATTCGCACAATGGAATTGAATTTTCGAATGCCAATACGTTTCTGATGGACTGAAAGAGACGGGAAACGTTTCAGCCCATATAAACATCCCGAGGCGTCAGTGATAACGCCAAGGTATTTCACCAAGGTTTTCCCGCCGGGGTATGGTTGCCTCAACGGACAACGAACCTAGGTGACCTGCGAAAATATGAATGTAGACTAGAATAAAATGCAATAATTTGTCGGAAAACGTTTTATCTCATACGCAAAGATTTTGTGGCTAGGGGCACTGTGCAACTAAGGAGGTCCATTAGGGACACGTCGTAGCCTTCGAAAATTGGATTCCATTGTGCGAATACTGAGCGTGTCATCCGAGCCATTGTGTTCTCACCCGTAATTAAAATGTCATTTCAGCTTACCATCAGAATTAAGGGTGATTTGCGGAGTTCGAATGTTCATCACAGACAGGTGCCCATGGATTGTTTAAGTAAACTTGCGGCACATTGCGCGGTTGCACGAGGATGCGGCTCTTCGTGAAGGATTTCAATGGCTCGTCTTTTGCTTTCGAAACTTCCGATACCTCGAAGGTTTCGGCACTGAAAAGTCAAATATCGGGCATTATCCCGGTAGATCCATTGTTGCAGCGTTTGTCCTTCCGTGGGACACCGCTTGAGGACAGTAGAGCCCTATCTGATTACGATGTCGAAGATGATTGTATTTTGGACCTCAACTGCGACCTCCTTGGTGGTGCAAAGAAACGTAAAAAGAAAGTGTATACTACACCGAAGAAAATAAAGCACAAGAAAAAGAAGGTTAAGCTTGCCACGCTCAAGTTTTACAAGGTTGGCAAAGTTTTGTGGACTTGTTTCTTATTTCTTAGGTGGATTCAAACGGGAAGATCACACGGCTCCGGAGAGAATGTCCCAGTGAAGGTTGCGGTCCTGGTGTGTTCATGGCGAGTCACTTCGACAGGCAGTATTGTGGAAAGTGTGCCCTAACTTACATGCATGAATGCAAGTGAGGTGAATAAATATTGCGCATGGTATCCCTTGAGTTCTGTTGTTGCGCGCCTCTGGAACCAAAGTTTCACATGTCTTTTACTCGGTACCGAAGACTTTAAAGATTGATATTGAATGCAGAATAACATGTAGTAATAATGTTCCCATAGGAGCCTGCCCAACTGAGGGTTCTGACAGCGTGCACTCAGGGCGCGTATTTACTGTCGTTTGTACGTAGGTTGTCCAGCCTATATTGATTGAGCCCAGCCATTATTGAAGTTGTTGAACACTCACATGTCGACCAAACAATGGTAGCGCATCACAACCCGAAATCCATCATACCACTGAGCAGATTGCAACGAGATATCTGCCCCCAGCGTGTTTCGAGCGTTCTCGTAAGAATGTGAATGTGGCCAAAAATACTCAGCTGTGTAGAAGATGGAACTATCGGCGCCATAATCTGATGAAATTCAGTCGCAGCTCATGTGCACGTACAGACAAAAGCAGGTTCACAAATTGAGCAATTGGAAACAGCATACTTCCGTGTCGCTCAGTGGTCCTTCGATTGCATTACCGTGGCATATTCCTCTGTTGGGAAATCTAACCAAATGGCGAAATACACTCGTTTGAAAACGTATGGTTCTGCCAGAGACTCATCTGGAATCCAGCTGAGCCTCTCGTTTGTGATGTTTTCATACGGACCCCTCAGCATTGATCAGGTTTTAAAATGTCGAGTACCATATCAGAATTACTTGCTCTTTATCCTTATCTATAAAGTCAGCTCTCTCTGTGTTCGCATTCCGTCCCTAGTAACCAATGATACCAACTCGGCTTTCACTGCCGTGCTGCAGTTTCAGGCTCTTCAGAGAGAACACCTATAGTAGATGAATGAATTAGCCTAACACGAAAATCCGACGTCTCTGTGACTCTCACTCTGACTCACTCTGACAACCTGGATAAATATAGACAGCGTGAATCCCGCTCATGTCGGTTGGGTGCTGCATTTCCTATTGTTTGCAGCCAAGCACAGGGGAGGTCTTTGGCTGTATTATGAAAGACGAACAGCATGCGGTACCCTCTGCTTCGGGCCACATCGTGAATCTGCGGTATCTAATTTTGTTCGAGGTCTCCGTCACGAAGTTACTGAATCTTTCCGTGGTCTGAGGTTTTGAGTACTTCCTGGCCGATTAAGACATGCCGCAGGTATTCTGGTGACACTCACCGACTCCTACCAACAGTTTTCGGGTCCTCTGGTGTGCATCATATGTAGCAACTTGTTATTTTATAAAGATGATAATGCACTGGCCTTTTCCGCCAAATGCCACTTCCTTGCAGTCATGCCTTCTGCCCACTGTTTTGGTTTCTGTTTACTGTTATTGTTTCGACAATGAAGCATCGGGTTGCACACTGATGTCATGGAGGCGATGATAGTGACTGTTTTGGTTGGGAGCTTTCCACACGCGGCGAGTGAGTTAAAACAAGTTACTGCCGACATCTCCCTCATTCCTGCACACTTTCCGTCTCCTAACTCCAGTAATGCGCCTTTCTCATAGGCCCATATCCGTTCATCTCTTGTCCGATTTGGCCGCAACGTCCGCTCATCAGTCGGCTCCGACAGTCTCAGGCTTCTTGAAGTCAATATTGGGGCCTCGGGTCTGGTCTATCTGGCTGCCTTCAAGGCCCGCACTCTGATACAGCAAGCCAACAGACTGCTCTTGCTCTCACACTGGACTCGCGTGACAGGCGGGGTCATGAAGACCCCGTCATGGAAGGCGTACAACACCGACAACACCCCAACTCTTCGTGATCTCTTTCATGCCCTTCTGCCAAGTCATGTGCTGTCCGCCTCGCGGTTTGCGCCATCCTGAAGGAGGCACGGAGAACAACACTTGTCTCGGTAGACTATTTCGGCGTGCGTAGCACATGAACGAGCCATCGTAGTCAATGATGCTGGATGTTTTCTCGGATTATAGTGCCTGCAGCCCAACCAAATACCCGTTTTCTAATCTCTTTACTAATCCGCTGACGTGTCCAAAACCAGCCACGCTATTGAGGCACCGGTGATCGAAAACCTGAAGGTGCCTCACATCATCTGTCCACAGAGCCCATGTCTCGCACTCATACAACAACACATCCTTTACTGTAGCCTGGCACACATGACCCTTGAGATCCAATGAGATGCCTTTTTGACGCCACAAGTGACGCAAATTAGCAAACGTGATTCGAGCCTTTGAGATTCTTGCACTGACTTCATCAGACACATATCCGTCAGAGCTAATACAACTACCGGCGTATGTAAACCTTTCCACAACCCTGTGATTCTCCTTGAACTATAAGGGATGTATTCGGAGGTCGCACATTCTGAAGCATGACGTTGCACTCTGAAGGTGCAAGGCGCTTGTCAAAAGATGGTATAATGGTGGTCTTCAAAGATGAGAACGAAGTCATCTGCACACTTCAGATCGACAAAGCTCCCGCCAGCAACAATTGGAGCATTGGGGTTCTAAAGACCTTTCAACGTTCGCTTCATCATTTCATCAATGATTAATTTGAACAAGAGAGATTGGACATCCTCGTCTGACACCACTTTTTGTAGGGAAGCTTTTGGAGAGCTCACCATACACTCACCCACCCAGAAGTATGCGATTATGTCCACAAACTTCCGGGGCATACCCTTTTGGGCAAGTGTAGTTAACAGCACTGACCGATCAACAGTTCGCACCCTTGAGATCAAAGTCGTCGGTGCATACGGCGTTGCTCTAACACCTGATGGAGTGAAGATGTGGTCAACGCAGCTTGTACCCGATGAAAACCCGCTTGATTCTCACTAGTCAAGGTTTCGCGTACCACTCCAAGACGAAGAATCGATGATGCCAGAAGCCTTGTCACAACGGGAGCCAAACTAACATCGATGTGGTTACCATATTCGCTGCGAGTATTTTCCAAAATGCGCATATCTATCGATTCCCCTAGTTTTCTGAAAAAATCTCTTTCTCCCTGATAGACCCAAATAGGCTGGACAGGATCTGGATAAGAAGCCCACTGCCATCATTAAAAAGAGCAGCTGGAAGGTCGTCAGGACCAGCAGTGCAACGGCGCTTGAGTAGGGAAATGCATTCGGACACTTCTGAGACTGAAGGCGGCCCCATATTTACGGTCCACCTTTCTGTTGAAGGCCAGTTTCCGGATTGGAGGTGGCAGATGGTGAGCCGAATTGCTTCGCGAAGTACTGTGTCTAGAGTTCCAAACGTTCTGCTTTGCTGCATATCACGGAGCCATTTTTGTCCCTGATTGTTTCACTGACAAGAGGTTTCCGAGGACCACTCGAATGAATCAAGTGGAACAGTTTGCGTAGATTCCAGCATTTTTCGCATCTTCCATTTCTTCGGCCTTTCGGGTCCACCAAGCTGCTCGGTGTGTGCAGACACTCAGTTTCCCCTGACGTCGGATGATGCGCCGGATGGAGTTGTGATGCCGGCCAGGTGGAATCTGTCACCGGGTATCCAGCAGAGACACGGTTCTATCAGAGATCCAGTGCTTGGGTGAGGTTGGCTGGATTGCACCGCAAACATGTTTCTGTTTTGAGTAGCACTTTGGGTATCTTTTCCCAGTAGCCGTTCATATCCGATATCGTCACGAAGAGACTGGACCTTATCGTGATGTGGCGGTTTGTGTACCTCGGCGACCCATTGAGCTATACTGTCACCGGGTAGCAGAGACACGGTTCTATCAGAGATCCAGTGCTTGGGTGAGGTTGGCTGGATTGCACCGCAAACATGTTTCTGTTTTGAGTAGCACTTTGGGTATCTTTTCCCAGTAGCCGTTCATATCCGATATCGTCACGAAGAGACTGGACCTTATCGTGATGTGGCGGTTTGTGTACCTCGGCGACCCATTGAGCTATACTGGGGGTGTCCGCGTGACACTCACAGAGTCTCTCACACCAGGTTGGTCAATGGTTAGAGGTCTGACGAACAGTCTCCTGGTCCACCAGGTTGGGGGTTGGAACATGTATGGCGACTTGTTCCGTAGGAAAGGTAATGCATTTGCATTTCCCCGCCAAACGCCGCTGCCTTGCGGTAAGGCTTTTGAGCCAAAGGCTTTGCTTGAGGACCCTAATCGTCCTCCTGTCTAGGTGTG